AGTCATTCATATTGGTTTGAAACAACATGTCAATGAGTAAATAATGACAATTTTTATTTTTAGGCAAACAATATTCATTAAAAAATAAGTCATGCTTAGATAAACATCAAGTTTTTTTCCTCCTAGAATCACAAGACACCTCATAAATACAACTGACAGGTTGTCAGTGCTGCACTAACCCATTGCCGCCTCTTTAGTGAGCTGCCCGTGGTATTTAGAGCATTCATTCAACAGCCCCTGTAACTGCTCCACAGTGTGCTGTCCGGGCTGCTCGACGAATGCCTCGGCACAGCGCTTTGTGTGGATGGTAGCGGGACGGATGGTTTCTGTGCGCCCATGTTTAAAGGCTGCGGTGCTACAGGACTCATATGTGGCAACCATCTGGCCATACTGCCGTAGGAAGCCCATCTGGAAAGCCAACTGTGCGATGGCATCTGGGCTGAGCTTCTTCTTTTTAAGTTGCTCCTTTCCACCTTTCTTGAACTCCATGGCGTCGATGGTGAGCTTTGACACGGCGGCCTGGAAGTTCTCTTTTGCTTTCGTGATTCCAGCTTTTAACTCTTCATTGAGTTTAAACTCTATTCGGCATACTGCAGAGGAAGAGTCCACCGCTGCGGGCTGGGATCCAGGCCCGACCACAGGCTTCTCCGTGGTGTCCTTGAAGACCTCATTCTGGAAGCGGAGAACGGCCACGCCGTCACCCCAAGAGTGCTCAAAATTAATTGCTGCCTGTCCGTCTTTAGCCAATATGATACTGAAGGACTTGTCGTACCAGCGGTTGCAGCCGTCTCCGTGAAGCATGTTGTGGGAAATGTGAATATGGTCTCTCATCACCTCCTCATCCAGGCAGAGGCAAAACAAAGCAGTGTCTACTAAATGCAGAGCGTCGCCATTTCCAGCATCCAGTAGTTTCTGTCGTAACCCTGCCCAGGTGTCTCTATTCTCACTGGTTAGAACGCCCAAGGGGAACGAAGGAGCTTGTGTGGGATCTGATAGGATGTATTTCAAGTGAGCTTGAACCTCAGCAGACTTTATCAGGTTGCCGTCCCGATCCAGCACATCAAACACATACAGGTTGCCTCGCCTTATTATAAGCAGGTGGCGGCCCTTATCGCCTGTGAGGAGCTCGTCGCGCTTGTACTTGGGTATACGTGTGGAATTAAAGAGGCGGAAGTACTGTGACATATCCAGAGGATAGGCATTCACCATGTAGGCTCCAAACCATGAGATGGAGGGGGGCACCCATCGGATCAACCTCTTAAAACTGTCTGTGTCACTCTTGGCAGGGTTAAGGTGAAACACCTCCGGCTCGAGTAGACCGGCACTAAGGGTCTTCATGAACCGCATGGCTGAACACACCATGTTGGTGGCTCGCACAAGCTGGTCGTTGTACTCGGGTTTGGGGTCAGGGTTAAAGGACATGAAGGGGTTAAAGTTGAGTACAACAGACTCCCGAGCAGACAAGTACATGTCAAACCATGGAGCTGCAAGAAACAAAGGATAAATGTATTAATGATGTTACAATTAAAACAGTACTCAATTGTTATTATTTGTTACTACATCTCCCACCTGATATATAGCTGGTGTGCTTGTTCTTCTTGTCTAAGGTCACAAGTTCTTCGTGTAACTGCTTACCTACACCACTCTGGAAATCCTGTGCTACTTTCTCTGTATTACTGATGGAGAAGTCGGCAGAAAAATTTGAAAACATTAAAAGTTCATTTGAATATGAAATTTAAAAAAATGATATAGATACTTTTGGCTTACCTGTACTGTTCCTCGTTCAGCAGGGGTCTTTGAGCTGCCAGATACCTCTGTATTGTATCTTCCAATTTTGGGACTGGTAATCTGTAAACAACATGTTAAATTTATATATTTTGGGAAACATATCCATTAAAAGTATACAAATATTATATAAATGATTTGTAATGTACACAATGTTTTGTTATGAAAACGTGTTTCATATAATTTTTATGAATTTTATTGTGAGACATTTTACTTGGTATAATTATTTACTGCTCTTATTTAAATAGTGATTTAACAATATTTTGTGTATGCACACTAAGGTCAGCATATTAAGGCGATTTCTAAAGCATCACGTGACACTGAAGACTGGAGTAAGGGCTGTTTTGCTTTCACAAGGATAACTGCATTTTAAAATATATTCAAATATATCAAAAAATTTAATTGTAATTATATTTCACAATATTACTGTTTTTCTGTATTTCTGACATAGGCGACTTTTTTCAAAAACATTTAAAAACTTGTAGGTAGTAGTATATACAGCCTCACCATCACAAGGCCAAGACAATTAGAGTACATTTTATTTTATTTATTTTAATGCAACTCTACCTCTACAATTGACCACGGACCAATACTGAGGGAACTAAAATTGAAGCAAGGGGGCATATTTACGTGTAACACCATGTCCCCATCCCCCTTGCAACCAAAGCGTAGACTTTGCACTTTCACCTACATTGTCTAATATGACCTAAAACTTTAGTAGAATAAAAAAATAACAATAAAATTAAAATGATATTTCCATCTAAAATCAGATTCAACATTAAAGATTCAATATCAAAGCACAGCAAAATGAATTATATGTCGTGGTTTATATGCCATATGTGTGTTTCTATGTAATTCTCTTACCTTGGTAAGCTCTTCTGGTAGTGCATGGTCGGGACGACACTTCTGTGTAAATACTCAATCCCAGCTCCATCCTTACTGCTGTATTTACGTTGAGTGCTCGTTAGAACTGACAGAGCAGGGTTATTCCTTAACAGTTTTAACTTGCTCAGTGTTGACTTATATTGCGTAGAGAGCAAACCTGCCATCATACAACTTGTAATTGAAGACGTTATGAATTGCGTATTTTTGTTAAAGCTCAACAGTGAATGCAGTGTGTCTGACAGATCCTGTTGCTGACGGCACGGCCAACAACAATAACAAACCTGTGCTCTCTTACCGTTCTATTTACAAAAGAAATAGCAACAAACGTAAAAAAAAGCGATTTTCAACAATAATTTTTAATAGCTACTTTTAACAAGCAGACAAAATTCCGATTTTAATATTTGATTCATTACTTCCGCCTCACCAACTATCAACTTTTTCAAAATAAAAGTCCAATCTATTTAAACAGGCCATTTATATACAAATCACATGTAGGCTGATAAGTTGTGCACCTAATGATTCAATTGCATTTTTCATTATGTGTTAATTAAATTGGAACTCACAAAACAACACAAAATTAAGAGATTTCGCCAGAAATAAATTAAAACTTTTATATGTACATTTAATTATATTAATTTATACAAATAATCTTAGTCTTTATATTTCGAGTATTTATTACATTTTCATATTTTGAATCCATTTCAACATGCACCCAGGCTATCAAAGCGTGAGGCCACAAGCTCCACCTTTTTGTTCTGATCCTTTCATATGATTGGTTCAGCCACAAATGCGCAGGAAGATGATTGGTCATCGAATGTCCCTTTGGGAAGCTGTAATCATGAACGACAGACAGCATCAATGGGAATCGTCCTTCAGGCGCATAGCCAGCATCATCTGGACCGACTGTGCTGGAAGCGCGCCATAATTTTCCATATTTAGATTAGAACCTAGTCGAAAATTATATAGCTTTATTCTAAATTAAAATGTAACTAAGAGAATGTGTACAAAACTTGACATTTTACAGACCCACAGACGTATTCTACTGCAGTTGACAGTGGAGGTGAAGCGCTGCTCCTCTTCCTCCGTTGTCGCGCTCTGTAACGAATTGTACATTTTCAGATATTATAATTCTCATTTAGAGGATACAGCACCTGTCGTCGATATTACAAATAGCTTACATCTCGGCCGTTCAGACCGTGCATGCTGTCTGCATTGCGGTGTGAGGATATTTAACATCTTGCAGAGGTAAGATCATTTGGAAATTGCTTGTCTACACAGCACAGCATTTAGGTATTCTAACAAATATATTAAGAGTACCAACAAGGATGATTTTTCCCCCTTCCTGCCCAGTATAGATTTCTATAATAGAATTCTAAAAGCATTATCTATTTCTAAAAGCTGTTGCAATCATCACATATATGTGTCATGGGATTCAGTATTAACCCTGAGATTAATTTTACAAACACTATGTTCTGACCTCATTTCAGCCTTGAGCTTATCTTAACCTTTGAGGCTTGCCCACACATTATTGATTTGCTTATTTAAGGTACAACATCTAATTTATGTTATTTTATTTCTCAGTGTCTAACAGTCAAAGCAATGGGTGCTCTAAGCAAACAGCAGTTCTTCCAGGAACTGGGATCCGGTTGCTTGCTTCCGACTGTCCAGCACAGTCTGGAACAAGTATGGCAGCTCTTACTCATCTGCCTAGTGTGTAGGCTGTTGTGGAGACTGGGTAAAAGGGTTTATACAACACATAACATGTACTGTAATATTTTAATCGAATAAAGGAATGGTTCTTCTAAAATCAAAATGATTTACTCTCTCATGTCATTCTAAACACTTTCTTTCCTCTGTTACACTCATGAAAGAGAATAGTGGCCGGATGTTTTTAAGCCCCAAAAAGGACAAAAATACTGTAAAAGCCACAAGTCGGTCATGTACAATGTACAAAGTCTTTTGAAGCCATATGATACAGTAGCTTTGTGTGAGGAACATCTTGCTTGACAGCTGCGATCACCATTCACTTTCATCGTGTGATAAAACACTTTGGACATTCTGCTATAAATAACTTCTTTTGTGCTGCATGGAAAGAAGAAAATGAAAGAAAAAAAAAACATGACTGTGAGAAAACTGATAGAATTGTCATATTTGTGGGAACTACTAATACTGCTACTAAAGTACAATAAAAAAAGTAGGTAATTAAATGATCTTATGTTACAAATTATGTTGAAGCTGTATTTCCTCTCTCAGGTCTGCCCTCTTTCCTGAAACACCTGAGTACAGTAGCAGGTGGTTTTTATACTCTTTACTTGTTCTTCGAGCTGCACATGGTTTGGGTGGTGCTTCTCAGCCTCCTCTGCTACCTCATCCTCTTCCTGTGTCGCCATTCAAGCAGCCGTGGACCCTTCCTGTCCATCACTATCCTCATCTACCTCCTTCTGGGGTATATAGATACATCCTCTCTGTTTCTTCATTTTTGTTCAATACAGGATGTACAGTAGTCAATTTGAGTACAATGGGTACACACACACACACACACACATATATATATATATATATATATTTTTTCATTTTTGACTGATCTGTTTTCATATTCTTTCCTCAGCAAGAAGCGAAAGATTAGGTATTGTCCTATTTATATTAGTCATACATTTATACATTTTAATCATTTGGAATAAAGACTCATACAAATTCATACAAGCATAAAACATACGTCTATATTTTATTCACTGTATATTCAGTGTCACATGATCCTTCAGAAATCATTCAGATATGCTGATTTGGTATTCAAGGAACATTTGTTATTGTTATCAATGTTGAAAACAGTTGTGCTGCTTATAGTTTTGTGGAAATAATGATAGATTTTTTCAGTATTTTTTGAAGAATAGAAAGTTTGATAGAAAAGAATCGATTTGAAATAGAATGATTTTGTAACATTATAAATGTCTTTACTAATTATATATCTCCTATGTTTTTTTATAATGTTAATTGTTGTGTTGCTATCTGTGGCTAAGTAAAACATACATCTGCTAAATTTATGTGTAAAAAGAATTAAAACAATTAATTCTACTAGGTTCGAGAATTCTGTATAAATTGACTTTCATTTTTATCTGCTTCTGTCCATTTATAAAATACATTTTGGATTGAGTTTAATAATGTTTTTCATTTTGTATTTCAATGCAGGGGCTCTGTTAAAAGGTAGGCAATGCACAAGTCTTTAAATAGTTTAGTGCCTCTGCGGATCTGTCTCTGATCTGTGATAACCTGCAGCTTTGTGATTCTCCTCATTAGGTGGCTACAGGCCTATGAGAACACCCTGTCCTTCCATTTCAGTAATTACTTTGTGAGTTACCTTGGTGAGATGAGCACCACACTGGCAGGTGCTGGGTTTACTGAGGAGAAGGACAATCTTAAGTGGTTTGTATAAATTATACAGATTCACATACTGTCAGCATCAGAAATTAAATAAAGGACATATCTTTAGCAAAAATGCCATTGAACGTGACAAACATGCCCTAATTACTTTTGGCTGGCAAACCCATAACTGATCAATATTTCATGACCGTCCATCATTTCTTTTCTCAATCACTCTTTTTAATGCAATTTCTGTTTTTTTTTTTCAGGGACTTGACAATAGCAAAGCCGCTAAATGTAGAGTTTCCCAGGTCTATGGTTGAAGTGGTCACTTCCTGGAACCTGCCCATGTCCCGCTGGCTTAACACATGTATGTGTTTTTTAATTAATTAACTAATTAATTTACTTATTTATGTATGTATTTCTTTATTTATTTTTATTATCTGACTTCTTTGTACTTTACTCAAGTATGCTTTTGTATTGGTTTTAATACACTGTTCTAATGCACATACTTGCTTATTGGTTTTAATACACTCTGAAATAAATTAAATATGTATTTTACCTCCCAAAAGACTTAAATGACATTTTATTTAGAGCAGGCTTTCGTGTCTTTTTTTTTTTTTACCTCCAAGTAAATGGGTAAGTCACATTTCTCGTTTTTTTTTAGATGTGTTTAGGAAGGCTCTCATATATGGGAGCTTCACAGCCATTATCTTGACATACACAGTGAGCGCCCTGCTACATGTGAGTGCATTTTGGCTCAATTCATTTGAACTGATTGCATTCTTTCTCAGGTGTAAGTACAATATTGTATTTCTGTGCCCACAGGGTCTAAGCTTCCACATTGGGGCAGTATTATTTACACTAGGCTTCATAACATATATTGAACACGGTGAGTATCTGTTCAGGTAAATTTGTTTAGGCATAAACACATATTATTTCTGAATTCACAGTTATCACAATATCTAATACTTCTTTCAAATGTTTTAATCAGTTCAAAAGCATTATGTTTAGCGGTTCAGCTGACAAACACATCTTTTCAAAGTATTGATCGTCTTTCAGCTTGGATCTCGGTTGTGTGTTTAATGGACTGTGCCTTTATCTGTGTTTTAGTGCTTAGGAAAAGATTGTCAGTCATTTTAAATGCATGTGTCCTCTCCAAGAGATGCCCATCTGACTGCAAACACAGACATAAAAAGGTGTTGTATGTGTCATTATGGCTATAGAACCACTTGTGCTTGTGAATATCTTAAAAATAAAAAATAAAAGGCAAAAAAGGGCCATAAATAAATGAAGCCTTTACTAAAATACATTTTATTTTGCCATTTCAAATCTTACAATGTTTTATTTCCCATTTTATATTAATATTCAAAAGTTACAAATTCTTAAAAAATTGATTTTTTTTTTTTACCTTTTTTTTTTCTATAGGAATTGTGGGTATATTTAATTAATGGGGCCTTTAGCATGTTAGCAGTACTACATTTAACATACCTGGGCTCAATTTTTGGCTCCAGCACAGATGACACGGATTCTGATGAGGTACAACTTACTTCTCCTGAAATGTTATGACCCCTGCCTTCTGTGCAAGTTATTTTTAATGGTTTGTTACATGACATAAATGGTTTTCTTTTGTTCACAGGACAGCATGGCCAGCCACACCATTGAGAAATGGACACAGCTCAGCTGGACAAGCCATTGGTTGACCTTTGGCCTTTGGGTCCTGTATCGCCTTATTCTTTGAACACTGAGACCTACATAGACAAGGAGAGATTGGGACAGAATAGCAATAACTGTGATTGGATATTTTATATGGTTTTCCTGTAGAGGAATCATGACCGTTTATGGCCTCACTGTGATCTCTGGATGAACATGACTGCGGACCACAGTCCTCAAATCCAGGAAAAACTGATGTACAGGTAATATTGATCCATTCCGCTGTGGCATGATTAGAAATCTACAAGTACCAGGATATTCTGAAGTTTTCTAAACTATCTCTAAAGTACAAAGAAGCATCAAGACTTTTTTTTTTAAAACTTCTATTATAGTCATAAGTTCATCCTCATAGGCCTCTGAATGAACATATGACATAGTTCACATTCTCTCTTTTGTATGAATTGTTGTATGAAGTGGTGACTGTCAGTCTCTGGGAGACTTTGAAAGCCCTTTGAGACACTCAAATGAGAAGCATTAGTAATATTCGCTAGTTTCTTATATTTCAACTTTTTTTAAAAATGTATTAACAGAAACAAGAAATGGGAAAAGGATAAGAATACAGATAGTGTGTATTTGTTTTCAGCGCGTTTATTTTAATCTTTGTTATTTTATTACTGCTATTTGGTAGTAAATAGTATTTATCATCATCATCACATTGAATTAGATGGATTGTTTTTTAGTGCCAAACAGAACAACAATCATCAATAGCTGATTCATTTCAGGTATGTTTTTATATTACTTTTAAATTTATTTATTGTGTTTAGACATTCAACACACAACACATTTTCCACAGAATCACTGTGTTGTTAATCCGTCCCTATACTTTTATTAGTCTAGTGGATATTAAATAAAGAGTTCAAATTACACGGATGATTTTGACTGCATTTTGTATGTCTGACTGCCAAACTATTGATAATAAATCATTAAATTTGTCATTTGTCATTTTCTCCCAATTTTTTCATATACACAGCTGTCATGTATGTGCGTAGTGTTTTATATCGAGCATACACGACAGACCTCTTCTAGGTTTACTGCCAACAAACAACTTGTCGACTTTTATTGAACTACGCCAACCCGTGGCTTCCATATGAACTGCATCACAATCAAGATGAATTATTTACATATCATGACATCCCCCCTTTTTTTTTTTTTCAAATCAAATAAAATGAAAATCACAGTGTATGTTGACAGTTTTACATTTGTTGGTTTGAGTATGTTCCTTTTGCCTGTTCTCTGTAATAAACTGTAAGGAATTACATTGGCCTGCGCGCCAGTGTCAAGTTTGAATTTGACAGGTTTGCGCTCCAGTTTTATTTCGATATTCCATTCCTCTGCTTGTGACTGTGTGTTTGCATGCACAGCTCCAACGAAAAGACTTGCTTGCTGATCCGTGACTTCATCATTTACTGCGTGCACTTTCCGCGATCTACACATCCTGGCCCAGTGGTTCATTTTCTTGCCATTTTTACATTGTTTGCCATATGCAGGGCATGTACGCGCTGTATGCTCAGTTCCGCATCGTCTGCAATCAAACGTGCTCGCTTTGTCTTTTTCACTCACTTTCGTTTTATTTTGTTGGTCTTTTTTCCGTGTATTTTTATGTTTCACGGCATCTATATGCTTGCTTTCTCGTGCAGAGGTTTGTACATTGTGATCCTCCTCATGCATTTTTTAAATTTGTGTTTTAGTCGTTTCTGCCGCGACGCAAAGCTGGGTTGCTTTTTCGCGAGTAATGTCAACCTCTCTTAATAATGTTTCTCTCATTCTATCCGATGTGATTCCACAGACAACTCTATCTCTTATCAGGGATTCTTGCAATTGTACGAATTCACATGATTTTGCCCTTAGCTTTAACTCGGTGAGATACTGGCTAAATGACATATCCCCTTGCACACACATGAAAAACTTGTACCTTTCATAGGTTATGTTCTTCTTGGGGTTACAGTAGTTTTCAAATTTCTCCACAATTTTCGTCAGATCTTGCTTATCATCTTCTTCTTCAAAAGTGAAGGTGTTGTACACTTCCACTGCCTCTTCTCCGGCAACATGAAGAAATAATGAGGACTTTACCTTAGCTGACTTGTCAGCTCCTCCGATTGCTGTTAGATATAGCTCATACCTTTGTCGAAATCTTCTCCAATTTTCCGACAGGTTCCCGTGCTGTAATTCAAGTCCAGCGGGTGGCTTAAGTCCTTCCATATTTGCAACACTGATTTTTACCTTATTAGTTTACTTCTGACACCATGTTTTGATGTGTTTTATATCGAGCATACACGACAGACCTCTTCTAGGTTTACTGCCAACAACTTGTCGACTTTTATTGAACTACGCCAACCCGTGGCTTCCATATGAACTGCATCACAATCAAGATGAATTATTTACATATCATGACACGTAGCGCTGTGTTTTTTACAGTAGGGGGCAGCAGCGCGCAAGCATTTGGACAGCGCAACTTTGCGACAGAAACTGAAGCAAAACCCATTACAAGTGGGACAACATGGCGATGTCCTCAAGCATGTCACTCTTTTGCCGTTTGACAGGCAGATCTTTAGGGACCGTACTCGGTCGCGGCCGCGGAAAAACTCTCACAGCTCGGAGATGGTATATTTGTGCCAGTGCAGGAAACAGTGAGTAAACCCATGCTTTCCACGCACCTCAATGTTGACTCCAGTCAAACCGGGAGGTCAGAGGAATTGAAATAATATTCCAGGCTATAATTTCACGTCAAATATCTCCTTTTTTATTAATTATCATCACCTGATGTTGTACGGAAGCTCAGTAATGTGATACGCAGAACACGAGAGATATCAATTGTGTTGTAGACAGCATGCAATAGGACATTATGTTGTTATGTAACATTATGTTCTCTCACATCAAGAGCGTCAGTGTTTTTCTTTTACCCGTTCCCAAATTACAGTTCTTCGATACCAGCAAAATATCACATACAGCTATTGCTATCACTAATTGTGGCAGGGATTATTAATTAATATGGTATCTCCTTCATGCAATTATAAACTTTCAGAATATTTCTGTAATTTTTTTAATAACTTTTACAACAAAAAGTACTACTGTAGCTTAGAGGTGTAATAATTGGGTAATAGGTAACAACATAATCATCAAACTGATCTCCCAGTCCAAGCAGCTGAAGTCCCCAACCCTCCTTATTTATTTATTTAT